CATTACAGAATTTTAAGATCCTTCAGTTCTATTAATTCTGTATCTATCTACTATATATACTATACATTAGCATTTGCTGACAAGTTTTAATTTACTCGGCTTCTTAAACTCTATTGTTTCATCTGTGCACAGGAAATGTCACCTCCGGCGCTCTGTTCATCTCACCAGCGTAATCTCTCTCTCTCCTTGTACTATAGGTGATGAATGCATAGAATATGATATATGCATGTTAGGTTAATTTACTGTGTTAGTTTGCACGTTATTAATTTACTCAAGTAGTACGAGTATGTGATGCATTACAATATTTTCCACTGTTTTAATTTGCTAGTTGGTTGCGTATAGTACGTACCTAATGTATATGCAGACCGGCATGATTAAGCTCTAAATTAAAAACAGTAACTAATTAACCAAACCATCATTTTGCCGGATGGATGAGATCTGATGATTATATGTATCTAATGTTGGGGTTGTGTGTTTGCAGACCAACTGTTTATAGAATCATCAAGAACAAATCGGTGGAGGGATTCCATCCATGGCCGTACCATGCAGCGCTGATGAACTGCTTCATGTGGGTGTTCTATGCCATGCCATTCGTCCATCCGCACAGCGTTCTCGTGATGACCATTAACAGTCTGGGTATAGTCTTGGAGCTCTCCTATTTGGCCGTGTTTTTCTACTACAATAATGGCAAAACCCGGGTATGTAACACCCGCATCTCATCATCTTAATTTTCCGTTTTGTTTTGCCTTTTTATAGGCAAGATGAGAGGGTCTTGTAAGCTAAGGGTGTATCTGATCTTAGTATATATGCGTATTGTTGTTGTGTTTCCAGGGGAAAATGGCGGGTTTGCTCATAATAGAGCTTATTGCTCTTGCTGGGATAGTTGCTGGCACCGTCATTGGCGCTCACACCATCGATAAAAGAACCACAATTGTGGGATCACTGTCTGTTGTTTTCGGCATCATTTTGTATGGCTCACCTCTCTCCATAATGGTATGAACCTATCTTTATTTTCAGTTCAATTATAGACGAATCAAAAATTTGATGGCTTCTATTAACCCCAACTGCCTTCTTGCTCGCAGAGGACTGTGATCAAGACCAAGAGCGCCGAGTACTTGCCGGGTTGGCTCATCGCTTCTGGCTTTAGTAATGGAATCATCTGGGCAGCCTATGCCTGCATTAGATTCGACATCTTCGTCTTCGTAAGCTAGCTTTAACCTTAAACTAACTCTTTTCCATTCTCCCTTTAATTTGGTTGGTTTCTGTAGTATGTACTAATTAACAAATTAATAAATGCAGGTGAGCAATGGCGTTGGGGCCGTATTGTCTTTAAGCCAGATTATCCTCAAGATCATTTACCGCAACGGTCCAAGGCCAGTAGAAGCCAAGCCGTCATCCGAGGTGGAGATCCAGGATGTGGTTTAATTATATTTGATCATGCCGGTTTTCATCTGATGCAGTTTTAGAGCGGAACGGCGGGATTTAATTAGGTCGTTAAGATGTTTAGTTTGACATTATTATTTCAGGGTTTTTAATTTGTAGAGCTCTACCCTAATCTTTATAGCTTAATTAGTTCGATCTCACTAAACTTGCTACCTTCAATTCAATAGTCTTTTTTGGTTAACTTTGCCAGAGTTTTTTAAAAAAAAAAAAAAAATAACCAACTGCTTAATTAATATCATTCATCCAAACATTACAAAGAAAATTATGAGGGTGAAAAGGCCTCTCCGTATGATCTGGCCTAGAAACGAACTCTACGCAATACAATTTGTAAAGTATTTAATAAACGAGATATCAACTTGAGTTAAAATGTACTCAACAAATATTTAACATCAAGTAACAACAAAGAAGAAACACTCACGATTGGAGGAATAATTTCATTCAGATAGAATGAGAGATACAAGTATATCACTACTCAAATTGTAACTACTCCTAACATCTAGGAATACAATCATATATTATAACATAACAAATAATAATAATAATAACACTAACACACCCCCTCAAGCACAAGGATGTGGAACAACATTGAGCTTGTCCCGTAGAGCAGCGAAGCGGGGTGATGGCAGCGGTTTAGTGAAGATGTCGGCAAGCTGATCAGCCGTAGAAACATAGTTGACCAAAAACTCCCCAGAAGCAACCTTGTCACGAACAAAGTGGTAGTCGATTTCCACATGTTTTGTCCGCGCATGAAAAACTGGATTGGCGCACAAATAAGTTGCTCCAAGATTATCACACCACAGCGTGGCTGGCTGGCCAGAATGCAACCCTAACTCCCGTAGCAGAGACACAACCCAGGTCACTTCAGCGGAAACATCAGCGAGAGCTTTATACTCGGCCTCAGTGGATGACCTCCCGTAGCAGAGACACAACCCAGGTCACTTCAGCGGAAACATCAGCGAGAGCTTTATACTCGGCCTCAGTGGATGACCGTGCAACTGTGCGCTGCTTCTTGGAGAGCCAGGAGATCAGATTAGTCCCAAGATAGACTGCGAAACCACTCGTACTCTTACGATCAACGGGGCAACCGGCCCAGTCCGAATCCGAATATGCATGAATACTAGTAGTGGACGAAGCAGATAGTCGCAGCCCATAGTCAAGCGTACCCTTGATATAACGTAGTACCCGTTTTGCAAGACCCCAGTGTTCCGTAGTCGGTGCGTGCATAAACTGGCATAAACGATTAACCGCATAAGCAAGATCAGGTCGTGTTATAGTTAAATACTGTAGAGCACCAACTATGCGACGATACTGAGTCGGGTTGTCGTGCAACTCATCTGGCTGTATAACTGATTTTGTGATAGCGGCCGGAGTCGTGAGTGGCTTACAGTCAGCCATCCCAGACCGCCCTAGGAGATCAGTCATATAACGGCGTTGCGAAAGAAGGAGACCATTATCAACAGGAACCGTCTCAATGCCTAAGAAGAAGCGTGGGCTCCCAAGATCCCGAATTTTAAACGTGGTGGCCAAACGACCCAATAAAGTGGTAACTAAATCAGCATCATTCCCCATCATAATTATGTCGTCAACATACACAAGCAGAAACACCCGAGCATTAGCAGTAGTATAGTAAAATAAAGAGACATCCGTTTTCGACGCGCTAAACCCTGCAGACAACAAGAAGTCAAGCAATCTCTTGAACCAAGCCCGAGGTGCTTGTTTCAAGCCATATAGGGAACGCTGTAAGTGACAGACGTGTCCCGGGTTAGTCGGATCTTCGTAGCCTGGTGGCTGCTTCATGTAGACAGTCTCAGCCATATGCCCATTTAAAAAGGCATTATGAACGTCCAACTGGCGTAGAGTCCAGCCATTGGACACAGCTAGGGCAAATAACATCCGTACCGTGGTCGGCTTGACCACGGGACTGAAGGTGTCAAAGAAGTCTTCACCAGCTACCTGGTTAAACCCTTTGGCTACCAGGCGCGCTTTGTAACGCTCTATAGTCCCATCAGCTTTGCGCTTGGTGCGGAACACCCATTTACACCCAATAATGTTCATGTGAGATTCTGGGGCTACCAATCGCCAAGTGTTATTGTGTAATAAAGCATTAAATTCCTGATCCATAGCCTCGCGCCAATGTGGATGTCCCACAGCTTGGGAATAACAGGAAGGATCAGCAATGGCGGTGAGAGCTTGAAAAGTCTCTTCTGTGCCCTTAGTCATATGCCGAAGGCGCATGACATGATCCCGGGTTTGGGTTTGAACACGGCGTTTCCTGGTCCTTGCCGGTGCTGTATGAGTGATGGCCAACCGAGGTGGTTCACTGGCCAGAGGTACGGGCTCAGGTTCAGTAAGACACTGAGCTGGTGCCGGTGCAGTGACCGTTGTCGTAGACGGTATTATAGGACCGGCTGCCCAAGGCAAAGTGGGCTGACTGATGGTCTGTTGAGCCGGGCCTGCTGAAAAAGGAAAGACAGCTTCGTCAAAGCGCACGTGACGACAGATATAGATCTTTCCACTCGTCAGATTAATGCATATGTACCCCCTAAAGGAAGGTGGGTAACCTAGGAAGACACAGGGTGCCGAGCGATATTCAATCTTGTGCCTGTTATATGGGCGCAGATATGGATAACACCGACACCCAAAGACTCGCAGGAAATTGTATGGTGGGGATGTTTTGAAGACACGTGTATATGGAGTATCAAAATTTATGGCAGATGACGGAAGGAAATTGATTAGACATGTTGTTGTTTCGAAGGCGTAGTCCCAATACTGTTGTGGTACTTTGCCTTCGGCGAGTAAAGCTAAGCCGGTTTCGACAATGTGTCTATTCCGGCACTCTACCCGACCATTTTGTTCATGTGTGTATGCACATGACTGGCGATGATTTATACCAAGTTGTAAAAATGTGTTATGTAACTTACGGTACTCACCCCCTAGATCTGACTGAATAGATTTGATAGAGCGCGAGAATTGACGCTCTACCGACACATGAAACGACTCGAATATTTTATATATATCTGATTTTACCCGTAATGGGTAAAACCAGCAGAAACGCGAAAAATCTTCCACAAACAGTACAAAGTAACGGTATCCGTTTGTAGACATTACAGGAGATGGGCCCCAAATATCAGTGTAAAGTAAATCAAGTACATTTTCACTGGAATTAGAAACCCTATCTAATTTGATATTGAGGCTTTTCCAAGATGACAGGTTGTGCAAGACTCCAATGACTCAATTTTATTTGTGGTGACCGGGCAATTTTTCAGCACTTTATGGAGGACCTGTTTATGCGGATGACCGAGCGGGCTGTGCCAAACTGCGGGAGAAGTCCGGGAACTGACAAACGCAACATGTGACCGGGTGACCGGGAGCTTGTACAAACCGCCTGTGGTGGGACCTTTAAGAAGCGTGGCTTTGGTTGTGGAATCCTTCACAAGAAAACAATTGTTATGAAATTCAAAATAAACATTGTTTTCTTTTGTGAATTTTTGTACAGACAAAAGTGGAACAGATAAAGACGGAACATATAGGATATTAGATAATTTTAAGGTTTTAGATTAGGATGGGACAGATGCAAATCCAATTCGCGAAATCTCCAGACCTGCGCCATTACCAACGCGCAACACATCAAAACCCGAATATTCATCGGAATGGGACATCATCCCGGCGTCGGGCGTGGCATGAGCCGTAGCCCCCGTGTCCGGGTACCAACCATCTCCGGCGGCCGGTATTACTGTGCCGGTGGGTGCTTCTCCCGAAACAGCAACGTGAACCTGTGGTGGTTGTGTGGTATAGCGCTTGAAGCAGTAAACCGCAGTGTGTCCGTGGCTCCGACAGATTTGGCACCGAGGACCTCCGCGACCGCCTCGTCCGCCGCCACGTTGCTGTCCACCTCGCCCGGAACGGCCGCGACCAGCCTGATGATGCTGCTGGTTGTGCGACTGCCGTCCACCATTATGACCACCCGGAGAGCCGCGACCCGTGCTGGTGTAGTGGGCGGTGTGGGAGCCGCCAATGTCTGCCGTCGAGGGGTAGTCATCTACCAATATAAACTCATTAGCCTGCAGAAAATCAGACAAATGAGCCAAAGAGACCGGTGATCCGGTTGCCGTGAGCGAGGTGGCCAAGGCTTTGAGCTCCGATCGCAGACCACGGAACACGTAGAGATTCTGTTCCGTGAGCGACAATGGGCGTCCAGCGAGCGCGAGGGATTCCACGAGCAGCTCAGCACGGCCTAAATACTCCGCGGTGGTTGAGTTTCCTTGCCGGAGCATTTGGAATTGCCCAAACAGATTGAGACAGCGGGCTTCGCTGGATGAGCCGAGGGCGGTAATAATGGAGCTCCATACTTCCGCCGAGGTGTTCCGGCCAACCGCCAGGTGGAGAACCTCATCCGCCATTGATGAGATGAGAAGGTAGAGGATGGCCTGGTCCTGCTTCTCCCACGCCTTATGGGCTGGATTTGGCGTAGCGGTGGCAGTAGTCACGGCCGACGAAGATTCGCCGGAGTCCGGGACGATGAACGCTGGCGGGCACTTGATGCTACCATCGACATAGCCCAGCAAATCTTGGCTACGGAGGAACGGAATCAGCTGCGTCCTCCAGAACAGGAAGTTCCGGCTTGTCAACTTCATCGACACATAGTGGTATGCTCCGGCGAGGGGGTTAGCGCCAACTGCCGACAGGGTTCCAGCGGAGATGGTTCGTTCGGATGACTCGGATGCCATGGCCGGAAAACAAAAGGTGAGAGGGGGAAATTTCGATGAGAGGAGAGAGAAAGAGGATCGACCAGACTGATACCAGATTGGAGGAATAATTTCATTCAGTTCTGATAGAATGAGAGATACAAAGTATATCACTACTCAAACTGTAACTACTCCTAACATCTAGGAATACTAAGTCAGAACTCAGAACTATTACAATCATATATTATAACATAACAAATAATAATAATAATAATAATAATAATAATAATAACACTAACACTCACCAAACTCAAACCTTGAACAACTACAAAGAGTATCGTGTAGAGTGAGAGGATTGTCAAAAAAATTTAATGAAAAAGTAAAGAGCAAATACCAATTTTGGTCTCACGAGTATTAGCAAAATGACAGTTTTGGTCCACGTGTTTAATTCCTACCGATTTTCATCCATGACTATTGTTTTAGTACCAATTTTCATCCACAACTATTGTTTTAGTGTCAAAATTCATCACGCCAGTCACCCCTTCGTTTAAGACATACCGAAATATGAAATTATTAAGGGTAGTTTCGTGCTTTTCAAATTAGGATTCATATTTGAGCATGAATAAATGGATTTAAGTCCTAATATTTATCCCAATTCGCAGTTTTCCTTCTCAAATTAATGTAGGATGAGGAGGAGAACTGCGAATTGGGATCAATCTTTGGGCTTAAATTCATTTATTTATGCTCAAATTGGAATATTAAGTTGAAAAGGATAAAAATGCCCTTAAAATTTTTAGATTTCGGGATGTTTTAAATAGATGAGTGACCGACGTGATGAATTTTGGTACTAAAGTAATAGTTGTGGATTAAAATTGGTACAAAAACAATAGTCGTGGAAGAAAATTGGTAGGATTTAAACTTGTGGACTAAAACCGTCATTTTGCTAATACTCGTGGGACTAAAATTGGTATTTGCTCAAAAAGTAAATAATTAAAAGACTTTCAAAGACAAATCTCTCTTCCCAAGTCCTATACTATGTCTTGACTCAACAAAATTGTGAAGATTGTGAATATGAATGAGTAAATCACAATGAGAAGAATTGTATGGTGTTTAGAGCATCCACACTTGTGGATATTGTGGGGAGATTTCAGCATTAAATCTTCCTTTCATGAGATAATAACTAGTGTGGACATGAGATAATTGAAAAAGAATCTCCCTGTAAATATGGGGAGATTGTCAGGAAAAAAAAAAAAAAATGAAGAAGTAAGGCACGCGCCCGGAGGCGGCGCGCCTGACGCGTCTGGTTACTTTATTTTTTTTTTAATTTTATTTTTTTTGTTTTGTTTTTTCTTTTTTTTTTTTCTTTCCCATCCCACACCCTCTTTCCTAATCACTCTTACATTATCCCCACATTCTCCCCAACCAATGTGGATGCTCTTATGAGGAGTCAATCATTGCGAGGTTTAACCCAATACCCAATATGTCTTAATTTCTATCCTATCCCCAATCCTTATCCCATTTCCGTCTTTCTCCTTTCTTCTTCTACTGTTAAACGACAAGGGGTTTGGCGTTAAATCTTATGTTCAGAAGTCCCAATTCGATGGCGGCTTCTTCAATTTCTTGCCACTCTCATCTTCTCGTTACTTCTACATTCAAGCCCCTCAAACGCAACTCACTGATCAATGGCATTAGCTTTGCTCCTGCTTTCCGCCCTCAATTCTCATCTCGCCCCCTCGCTCCGCTGTGCTCTTCTCAATTCTCACCTCCGTTTCAGCTCCCAGATCAGAAACAGGCATTCTTTTTATTTTTCTTTAGCTTCTATTTCATCGATTCTGCCAAAAGTTTTGAATGCTGGGTTTGTGGCTATGCTATGCTTGCGAATTGAGCTCTGATGACGAATCTTGTTAATGGGTGTACAGAAAGATGGGATCTTTTCGTTGAAGAAAAGTGCAATTTCCATTGCGTTAGCTGCTTGGTTGATATCTGGAATGCCTGCATTGGGGTGGCCAGGTCATGCCAATGCGAGCTCTCCGGCGTTGCCAGACGTATCGGTTTTGATTTCCGGGCCGCCAATTAAGGATCCGGGGGCCTTGTTGAGATACGCATTGCCCATAGACAATAAGGCTATTAGGGAAGTTCAGAAGCCTCTTGAAGATATTACAGAAAGTCTCAAGGTTGCTGGCGTCAGGGCTCTTGATTCTGTTGAAAGAGTAAGATATCCTTCTCTTAGATCAAGGATTCATAGCTCCATTTAGCTTTTTTTTTTTTTTTTTTTTTTTTTTTTTTTTTGTGGAGTGGTGATGAAACCCTAAGCCACTACCCAAGGTAAACATATGATCCTGGCCGACAAAGAACCACAAGAAGGTAAACTATTGTTACCCATAAACTATTGTTACCCATAATTGACTGGCTCAAATCAAGAAGGCCAATAGGCCGCTCTTGTAGTTGAACTTGCAATCTGATGGTTACCAAGTCAAATAGCATGATCAACTTGGCTGGGTTTCTCCCTCCATTTAGCATTTTTACATGTAGTGTTAGAGGCATTGTGTGAGTATGGTGATTAGAATTATCTGTTGTCATGCACTGTAGAACGTTAGGCAGGCGTCCCGGGCCCTCAAGCAGGGAAGGACTTTGATTGTTTCTGGATTGGCAAAGTCGAAAGTTGAGCACGGGACTGAATTGCTCAACAAGCTGGAAGCTGGGTTGGATGAGCTTCAACAGATTGTTGAGGATAGGAACCGAGATGCAGTGGCACCTAAACAGAAGGAGTTGCTTAACTATGTTGGAAGGTAAGGGTGGAAATAGGTCTTTTCACACTCGGTGTATGATCCTTGTATTATTCTTCGAAAATTGTTGTTTTATCACTCACTTTTGAAATAGCCAGCGCCTTGTTATCTGCCTTGAGCTTGCCTATCCCATAGGTCTTACAGTTCTGATGATTCTGCTCGGGAAAATAATTTTGAGTGCTGATGTTTAGGAGGAACCCGAGATGCCAAATGAAATGTCATGAGAATTAAGTCATGTGGAAGTTAAATCTGTTGGAGAGAATGAGAAGTTTTTATGTGTTGTGTAAAGCAAAAGCCATAAAGAACGAGGACCCCTAGACAAAAAAAACATAAAACTTCTTAAAATCTCCTATTCTCATTTAAATCCTTATCATTGACTGCAGCTGAGATCTTCCTGGGGCATTGGGTTTCTGCAGTGTTGAAGAGGATATGGTAGATGGCTTCCCATATGAAGTTCCCGAGGAATATTGGAATATGCCTTTACTTAAGGGAAGAGCAACTGTTGAGATGAAGGTGAAGGTTAAGGACAATCCCAACCTGGACGAGTGCACTTTCCGCATTGTTCTGGATGGCTATAATGCTCCAGTTACTGCTGGTAATTTTGTCGATTTGGTAGAAAGGCATTTCTATGATGGAATGGAGATTCAAAGAGGTAAAGTAATTGATTCTCATGCTTTCTACTTGATTTTGGGTGCAAGAAAGATCTTGGTAATGATATGGAATGGAAAATATAATCGAATTTCATTCATAACCATTCCTCAATATCATCTTGATAGTTGTTTTGGATTATATGTAGCGGATGGCTTTGTTGTACAAACCGGTGATCCTCAAGGTCCTGCAGAAGGATTTATCGACCCCAGCACAGAGAAAACCCGTACTATACCTCTAGAAATTATGGTAAACGGGGAGAAAGTACCTTTCTATGGCGCCACCTTGGAAGTAAGTAGTGCCCCCACCCCAACCCTGCAAAATAAAACCCGAAACTGGAAAAAGAATCATTTACTAAGAAAATTTGATTTAATGTGCTTTAACAGGAGCTCGGCCTATACAAGGCCCAAACGAGGCTTCCATTTAACGCTTTTGGAACAATGGCCATGGCTAGAGACGTGAGTTGTCTACACTATCGCTATACAATTATTAACATGGATTTGTTTGTTTTCTGATAGCCAAATCATTTGGTTCTGATAACGACAGGAGTTCGAAAACAACTCTGCTTCAAGTCAGGTATTTTGGCTATTGAAAGAAAGCGAGCTTACTCCTAGTAACGCCAATATATTGGATGGTCGATATGCAGTGTTTGGGTACGTAACAGAAAACGAGGATTATCTTGCAGATCTCAAGGTGGGAGATGTTATAGAATCAATGCGAGTAGTATCTGGACTGGACAATCTTGTTAACCCTAGCTATAAGATTGCTGGTTAGTATGTTGCACTTCACAAATCACAATAAATCGAGTTTATGAGTTTATCAGTCCCCCACCATGTACAATAAAAAGGTAGGGACTGTATCTGAGAAGTAAAAGTTTCTGCAGAATAAAATGTTGTGTAATACTTTTTTGAGATTAAAAGTTATTTTTGTTCACATTTGCATTCAAGTTTGATAGTGTTTACAATTGCCAAGTTTTGATAAGCAAAAACACTGTTACTGCAAATGAAACTAGGTGCTGAGAATGCAGTTCACAAGGGGATTCAGTACAACTGCAAGTGTATTAAGAACAAAAATTTTGGTAATCTCAAAAATTCCATCTTCAATACAAGAAAAAGTAAAGGAAAACCCGATCAATTTAAACCGGCTACTACAAGATAAAAATCACGAGAATGAAAAGACAGTGAGCCCACCGAACTCTTGTAACAGAGATTAGGTATGTCTTCAAATTTAACACAGAATGCAAGTATGATTCCTTGAGTTACAATCAATTATTCTTTGAGATAACAGACCAAAAGATCAGATTTCAACAGTTGTGCTTCCAGTGCTCTCATGTCATAGAAACTTCGGAGGCCATGTTATAGAGTCGTAGCAAACCCTGTAATCGATAAATGAACCACAACCCGCGTTATATAGCAAGAAGTAAAAGCATTGAGATGCACTATAAGACATGTTCTCCAACTATGGATAGCCACAAATATGTCCTAACCACAGAGTTATCCTGCAGCATGCAACTATATGGTGGTAAATTATTCGTTCAATCATATCATCTCAACTAGTCAAGTTTCTTCACTCAGATACTACAACTATTCTCACATAATCTCTCATTTC